AGATACCGAGGGTGGGTGGCCTTGGACTTGTGACTGTTGGATTGAGCGAAGAACACCTCAGCTCACCAACATGCGATCCCGATCAATCGGTGCTGAGCTTTCTTCATCCGCCAAATGGCAGATATTGTCGAAGCAATAGTTTGCAAACAATCACTTAAAAACCTTAAAATAAGGTCTGGCGGAAATCCTAATTCCAATTTCACGATGTTAATTGGGCGCCTCATGATTTCGTTTGGCTATTTCGTGCCTAATCTGTATGCATTTAGACGAATGAAGACTCTTTGAGATGACCGGTTGAGGCGCCAAGATTTTCTTCGCACAATCCAACTGTCGCAAGTCCAACACAATCCACCTTCAGTATCCAGTGCTGCCAAGTAATGTATTCATTTACGTCATTTTTTCATGAAAAAAAGGTGTGTCAACATCATTCAATTACGGGATTCTTCGAAACTCGCCAAAGGCGAAGAAAATGTGGACTGAGCCTATTTGGGTGACACTGGAACACGCGACATGTGCATCGCTTCATAGGGGCACAAGAATATACAATCCTTGGTAATTGCATCAGTTTGCCTTATTCATCAAATCCCACCCGTCAATAGTGCTGGAAAGTATTAAGGCACTACTTATGGTTGAAACAAAAGTAGACGAAGAAGTCTACATTAATGAGGCTCACTGGTTGAAACATTGCATCTGACATGAAGCAGCATGTCTTAGCCTTCAAACTGCCTAAATGGCGGAAAGGAGAAAGAAGCTGAAGTTGTAGCAATAAGCATCCAGCCAATCTCTTCAGGCCACATTTGTGCCCCACAAAGCCTCTAACGATAATAAGCCGTAGAATCGAGATCGTAGACATGAAGATCACGATTGCGTGGCCTTTAGCCATGCTTACACTCTCCTCTAAATATGCAGATTTTAATTTAAGATATGAAGATGTTGTCGCCTCTGGTATGGTCGCAGTCTCCTTCCGATTCATAGAAATGGTTTGACCTTGTTGTCGCAACTTGGTCTTGTTGTCAGGGCGACTTAGAA